GACCAGAGATGTGTCAATGAATGACGTTTCCCACTTAGCTGCCAGCCAGATGAGCTCTAGGTGCCCTCCCCAGCTCTCAGGAATAGAAATGCAGGCACATTCCAACACCAGAACTGCAGCAGCCCTGAAAGGAGCTTGAATGGAGATGGCACTGCCCTGCACAGGTGCCAACCTTCTCCTTTGCTGAGCTGCAAACACAGCAGCTCTTATTGTGGGTATCACTGTAATTCCAGCAGTGACCTTGTCACAGGAATTCATTCATTTTAATAGGAACTATTAAAAGCCCACTCCATATCAGTAGAAGAATCAACAGTTTGTGGCAAGACCAGGAGTTAAAACCATTCCACATTTGCTATTATGCCTCCAAACCATTATCATCACTCTTCTGAAACAGTCAATAACACTGAGTGATGGGGTTTTGCTTAATAAACATTAACTGCATTTATTACTGAACATAAAAGGGATAATCAGTACAGGAATTATACTTTGACTACTGGGTTACTTGATCATCAACCTTTGTAACACATGAAGAACAAATAAAACCTGGGCAGCAGAGGGTTGGGAGTTAGATTAAACACATTACTCACCAGAACAACAGAGACAAACTACAAAGCACACTGGGCATAAAACCAAAACTGATCTGTGTGACCCAGATATGTGTATTTCTTCTAGAAGTCAATGGACAAGCCCCAGAACCACTCCAATCCTTGGGCAACAACTCCCCAGCAGCTTCAGCTGCTCTGCTTTGGGACTGCCAGAATCACAGCAGCACTGGGCACTGCTGAGAAAAACAGATCAGCTCCCTCACTTGCCCCTCCACACAGCCCCACAGCTTTTGCAAGTGTATTGCCAAATATTCTTATAGCCAAATTGTCCTTCTTCATCCTTCTGCTAGGAGCCAAAATCCTTGTCCTTCCTGTGGTGCTGCCAAAAATTTTGATCAACATCACAGACATTCCAACCAAGCTCATGGATACACCCAAGGTGCAATCTTGCTCACAAACTCTAAGAATTATCAAAGTATATAATATGTATGATTATCTGAGATTAAAGCAAACAAAGTCAACACTCCCACCTCTCTTACTAAAGTTGCAAATATTTCAAACGGTTCGTGAAGATTTGAACTATATTTGCACTGCAGTCAGTAGCACAAGTGGGATAGAAATCTCATAAAATCCTACAACCGAGCAACTGGTAGCAGTCTGTAAATTTGGGTTACTCTTGAGTGTTTAGAATAATTATACGATGTTTAAAAAGAAGGAAAGGGATAAAAATGAGACAATTATGCATTTATTGAGACAGGTAGACATATGCATCGCTGTGACATACCTACAGTAGAATGGAAGAGACAAAGAAATGGTAAGTGGTGGACGGCCTTAAACATCCATCTTGTATAATAATAAAATCATGGAATCCTGGAATGGTTTGGGTTGGAAGGGACCTATAGATTATCTTGTTTCAATCCCCTGGACTAGGCCAGGTGTCTCAGAGCCCTGTGCAGCCTGTGTCGGCGGCGCTGCGCCGGGAGCGCCCCGTGCCCGCCGCGGCCATGTCGGGCCGCCCGGCGCGGCGGGACGATGCGGAGAGCGCGGCGCTGCGCCACAAGGAGGAGCTGAGCCGCCGGGTGAGCGGAGGCGGCCCCGCGGGGCTGAGGGCGCGGGTGGCCCCGGAGCGTGTTGCCGCGGGTGCGAGCAGCGTGAGGAAGAGGAGGGCGGGTGCTGCCAGGGACCGGGGCTCCTGTGCCCGAGAGCGGCCTGCATTAGCGAGCCCGTGTTGCCTCGCTGATAGCGCGCTTGTCAGATTGGTGTTTTGGGTCTTGCTGCTGCAAATTGAGCGTGAAATGTCAAGTGAGGTTTTTCTCACGGAATATCTTGAGTTTCAAGAGACGTCCAGTGGTCGAGTCTGACAGGACGCTGCACAGGACACCCCGAGAATCACACCGTGTGCCTGAGCACCTTATCCAAAAGCTGTTCGAGCTCTGTCGGGCTGCCGCTGTGACCACTTTTCCTGGGGAGTTCAATGCCTAATCCCCCTCTGGGTGAAGAATCTTTTCCTGGTATCCAATCTAAGCATCCCCTGACCCAGCTCCAGGCCATTCCCTGTGGTACTGTCACTGTCACAGGGAGAAGAGATCAGTGTCTGCCCCTCCACTTCCCCTCCTGAGGAACTTGTAGACTGCTGTGAGATCTCCCCTCAGTCTCCTCCAGGCTGGACAAACCAAGCACCCTCACCTGGCTTCTTTCTAGTACCTAGTTCAGCTTTATGTGTCCAAAATCTCCTAAGAAATTCCAGCCATAGAGGCTGGTGCTCCTCATTTATCCGCTCCCTCCTCCCTGGTGCCCACAGCTTTGTTCAGTATGCAATCTGCCAAGCCCTGTGGAACTTTCACCCCAAAAAACCTCATAGCAACATAGCAACCTGCCAGTATTCCAACAGGGAAGCCAGAGAAGGGGCTCTTTGTCAGGAGCTGTAAGGATAAGACAAGGAGTAATGTATACAAATTGAAAGAGGGCAGATTTGGGTTAGATACTAGGCAGAAATTCTTTGCTGTGAGAATGGCAAGGCGCTCACAGGTTGCCAGAAACTGTGGATGCCCCACCCCTGGAAGTGTTCAAGCCCAGGCTGGACAAGGCCTGGAGCAGCCAGGTCTAGTGGGACGTGTCCCTGCCCATGGCAGGGGACAGATTGGGACTAGATGATCTTTAAAGTCCCTTGCAACCCTTAACATTATGTGATTATATTAAAATAAATAGTTCTGCAGGGCCACGTATAGAGACAGTGATGGTTTTGATTGCCTGGAAGCTGCAAAGCTGGGACATCACAGAGCTACAGGTTGTCACTTGTGTTGTGCCTGAGTGGCTGGTTTAGTCCCTGGCAGAGGATGGCTCTGCTGCTTTGCCTTGTTGGTGTGTAGATACAAGAGATTGATGTAGCTGCTGGAAAAGTTGCACTTTCAGTGTGCCAGATTCAGTTTGGCTGACCTCACTCTGTGGCAGTGTCCTGCTGTTGCACCAGTTCCAGGAGACACAAAGGAAGAGCAAGGAAACCCCATGTTGTTTGCTTCTAAGAAAAAACAGTGTGCCCTCTGGACAAATTTTTTTCAGATTTTGACTTTTGCAACAGTCCTGATTACTTCTCAGCATTCACAGCTGCCATTGTAAAAGAAAATGGGAATATCTGCCACATCTGGCAGTGCAGAACAGAGTGGTAAATCCCACTAAGGAAGTTAATGTAAAAATCCAGAGCCATAGAAAGGCTCCTATTGCTCCTAATACAGTTCTAGAATATTAGAGTATTTGGATTTTCATTAATTTCATTTTGAATCTGAAGCATACCTGTGATTATAAAGTGTATTATTGATATTATGCTAAGTTTTTTAAAATTTTATTTGATGTTGTATTACTTGTGTACATGTTCTCTTCTGAGGGGGAAAAATGTCCTCTCTGATTATAAATATCTATAGTTACTCTGGCTTCCCAGAGGCTTTTGAGGGGAGGAGAAATACCAATGCATGTAAAATAGCCTGTTTCTAGACAAATTAAGTATGTAATTTTTATACTTACTTTGTCTTCAGTGCTTCATGTGGAGAACTGCAGCTATACATGCATGTTGCTGTCTTAAAATATCAGCAGACATGCTCACCACTAGGATTATAATATGATGTCTTGTTTTTATCATTAAATTCAAATGAATCTTTTGTCTTTCAGATTAAAGAGCAGAAGGTTGTAGTCGATGAGCTTTCTAATTTGAAGAAGAACCGGGTAAGGTTTTACAAATTTGCTTTTAACTATTTCATTTTAGCAGAGAAATAAACATAGAGACGAGAAGGGCAACAAAATCAGAGCATGGTGTCTTTAATTTGTTCTAATTAAGATTTTAATAAACATGTGGTCTGCTGTGCTCCTAATTTGTCCTGCAAATTATTTGATTATGTATACTTGGGCAGTGTTGGGGTTTTTTGCTTTTTTATGTTTTGAGTTATTTATTTCATTAAGATGTTTGAGTTGATCACAAGGATTCATGCCATATTCTTACATTTTCTGTGCATTTGTTTAAAATAGAATGTGATCCCTTGTGGATGAGGAAAAGAGAAATTCAGAATTGTTTTAGGTTGAGCATTAAATGCTTTTGATGGTACAGCATTAGAATGCTGGTGTTCACAGTGCAGAACTCACCCCTTCACTTTCATACCAGGAATGTCTCTTTGGACCCACACCAGCTTCTACTGCAGTGTGGTTCCAGAATCTGCTGCTTTGACTTAATACAGTGTGGGTTTTGTTTTACAGAAAGTTTATAAGCAGCAACCCAACAGCAACATATTCTTCCTTGCAGACCGGACAGAAATGCTGTCTCAGTGCAAAAGTAAGTTTGCAGTGTAAAAGCATCTCAAATAGTTAATGTTTAAAAGCTGTATTTGTAGCTGATTTCAAAGGTATATTAAAATGAGAAAATTGCAGCTATGTGTCAGATACAAAGTAATAGGAGAATGGATAATAGAGGTGATGATGGCACAAGCATTAGAAGAGTATAAATTTAGAAGTATAAATTTAATTTTCTGGAGCGAACAATTGCTGCTTCTCTTTGCTTTGATTTGGGTTAATAGCATTGCCATTTTTATTGTCAGTTCCCTTTTCTTACTACAAATGTTGAAGTCATACTGATTATATAGGCAGGCGTTGGCCATTCCCCTATTGCACTGTGGCCTTTTTTGGAAAAAAAATCATCTTTGTATAATCAAAGAGGAATATGCTACAGCAAGCATATAGCTTGTGTTAGTAATGATGGAACACAAACATAGCTCTTTGCTTAATTAGTGTTTTATGTTTATCACTTTAATTGAACAAGTGGCTGGAATTATTAATTTTCTAGATATACACTTAAACTTACCTATGCATAAAATTTCTGGTTTATGAAATTGATTATTTTTGTAATTTTCTCTTACACAGACACGTTAGATGAATTAAAGAAGGAGCATCAGGAGCTGGAAAATTCAGAAAAGACTAAAATCAAGAAGTAGTGGATGTGAATTCCCCGTTGCAATGTGTGGTATTTGCTGTGTTGTTACCTTGTGCAGCCAGTGTGCAATTCATGATTTCCTCAGTGAAGACGTCCTCTGCCATCTGAGAAGAAGAGGACCAGACAGTAGCCAACAGTTGATAAAAACTGTGCCCGATCTCTCTTATGAATGTCTGTTTTCAGGCCATGTACTTCACTTGAGGGGACTGGTGACTCCTCAGCCTCTGGAAGATGCCAGTAACAATGTTTTTCTTTGGAATGGAGAAATTTTCAGTGGAGTGCATGTAGGAAGTCTAGAGAATGACACTGAAGTAATGTTTCATCATCTGGCTTTATGCAGCAGTGAAATGGACATTCTGTCACTCTTCTCATCACTTCAGGGTCCCTGGTCTTTTATTTATTATGAAGCACCCAGACACAGTTTATGGTTTGGCAGAGATTACTTTGGTCGTCGTAGTTTGCTCTGGCAGTTCAGTGAGGTTGACAGCGCTTTCTGTCTCACATCTGTAAGTGCTTGTTCTGAATCAGGCAACCAATGGCAAGAAGTCCCAGCGTCTGGAATTTTCAAAATTGATCTCAAAGCTTGTGCAGCAACTAAATCTTTGTCTTTAACATTGTTTCCATGGAAGTACAGCTGCAGAGAGAAAGCAGTAGAAGAAACATGCATTAATGTTCTTGACCAAGTGTCAAAAGACTTACCCAACCACATACATCTCATGGCCAATGAATCAAAGCTGTGTCTTAGAGCACCAGTTATCCCCTTAAATAAAACAGTTTCTAAAGCTTCAGGTGCATCTCCAGGCTCTAATTTTAGCAACATTAACTCTGTGGTTTCTGTAGAAACCCTTCAAGAATTTCTTGCAGAGGAACACAAGAAAAAATTAGCCTGTCAGTTTATTGATGTTTTAAATGAAGCAGTCAAGAGACGAGTCCTGTGTCTCTTTAGAGATCCAGATCAGATAACAAGTGAAGTTCCAAGCATGTCCCATAAGAAAGCACATATTGCAGTGCTCTTTTCTGGTGGCATTGATTCTATAGTTATTGCAGCCCTGGCTGATAAACATGTGCCTTTGGAAGAGCCAATTGATCTTCTTAATGTAGCTTTCATGATGAAAGAGCAAGCTAAGCACAGGGGTACCACTAAAAGACATACCAGCCGTGAAGTACAGCTTGATTTGCTTTGTCCTCAAAAAAGCTGTCAGGATCTTGCTGCTGACACTGGTACTCATTCATCTTGCTTTGATGTTCCTGACAGAATCACTGGTAGGGCAGGACTGAAGGAATTAGAAGCCATTAACCCTTCAAGAACCTGGAATTTTGTGGAAATTAATGTTACACTAGAGGAATTGAAAAAAATGAGAAAAGAGCGTATTAATCACTTAATCTATCCACTGGATACAGTCTTGGATGACAGTATAGGCTGTGCAATTTGGTTTGCTTCCAGAGGAGAGGGCTTCATTAGTAACCAAGGAGAACTGAAACCATATAAAAGTCCTGCAAAGGTACTGTTTTGTTTTGTTTTCTGCCTAGTGTTTGACTTCTGAATGTAGAAACAGTTTTGTTGATTTAGAAATCAGCTGGGATTTTTGCTATTCATCAGGCTTCTGAAATTCAGTGTCAGAATGTAGACTATTCTATATTTATGTGATTCTAGAGTGAAAAATCACATTCAATTCTTTTGTCACGGCTTTTCAGTGAACATGGAAATGCAATAATATCCAATGGAAACAAATAACCACCATCTATCATTTTTTATTCTGATTTTTCACATCTCTGTTCCTGATGGCTTGTGTAGGGAAGAAGGAAACATTTAATTTCAGCTGTTGAAGGCAGTGTAATGGGTCAGATGTAATAGTGTTTTTTCTCTTGATAATTTTATTGTACTTACTGAGTAGGGTAAGCCATTTTTACTTTGAATAAAGTAGTTGTTACTAACCCAGTAGCTGGTAAATGAATAGTACTCTGGGTGTACATTCAGGTAACTACAACATATGACACAGCCTTTGGCAATAATTTTTAAAGGCTTGTGTTTAACAAATGCTGTTTATCATAGAAACTAACAAAGACATTCTTCAAATATACTGGTGTATTTGTGATACACGTGGCATTGTTTTGATGTTTTTTCCTTGCTCCACGAGCAACATTTGTGTGTACTTTAAGGTCTGATAATTTAAGTTACCAGTGACTGTACTGGGAATTGTTTCAAGCTTTGTAAATGTGTGAGGCACAGCCCATTCTGATAGGTAATATCTTTAGAAGATGTGTATTAATTTTTTTCTCCTTAAGATGTAGTTAAACCTTTAAGGTCTGTTACATACTAACTTGCATAGATACTAACAGTTCTTATATTCTGTTTCCTCAGGTTGTGCTTACTGGAATTGGAGCAGATGAGCAGCTTGCTGGGTATTCTCGACATCGTGTTTGCTTCACAAAAGATGGTTTAGAGGGCCTTAATAAAGAACTTGAAATGGAGTTAGGGCGCATTTCTTCTCGAAATCTCGGCAGAGATGACAGGATCATCGGCGATCACGGAAAAGAAGCCAGGTATTAATGTTTTAACACAGAGCAAAACTGGTTTTGCTGGTTAGATGTAGTTTTTAACACCCCTAAGAAAATCTTCATTGAAAATTCTGTGTGTTTTATTGTTTCTAGTTCTGCTGCAGTTTTGTTAATGTGTGCTGTGTTCTGCAGTTTTTGGTTGTGTTTTTTAAAAAAGCAGTCTGTAGTATATTGTGGAAGAGTTTACTTAAGGAAATTTAGCAACTTGGTTTCCATCTGAAAGTTTTAAGAAGCAACAAATGTTGAAACAGGCAAATTCTAGCTGGTTATATCATTTTAAGCTAAACAGGCTTTTGCACAACTTTGAAGTGTTCTGGTGTGGACCTTTGGGGAGTGTCTCTGGAGAATGACAGTGTAACAGGAGCTGTGTATTCCTACCCCTGCAGTACAGCATAGTCAACATCCACCACATTTCCTGCTTGTTAAGTCTGAAGAGTTGAAGAATCATTTTATTTGTGCCTACTTCCTCCATCAACTTGAAAAAAATTCCTTAGGTGTTGTCCAGGAGCAGAGGCCACTCAGGTGCATGAAAGGTTTTCTCATGTGATCTTTGTGCCGATATTTTTCCAAATCTGTTCTTAGTTGCACATTTTGAGTTCAGCACAAGAAACAGCTGCAGTGGTGGATGTGCAGTGCTCCTTAACCATGCACATGATTAGGAGTGAATGCCTGAAATTCAGAATGATACCAGTATTTAGTGTGTAAATCTTTTTGTTTCAAAGTTACAGTGTAGTTTCACACGGTCTTTGCATGTGGTAAAGGGGAAAACCAAGATTATTCCTATGGAATTTTTAAAGGATCTTTCCCCACATAAATCTCTCTTTCAGGTTTCCTTTTCTTGATGAAGATGTTGTCTCATTCCTCAATTCTTTGCCCGTCTCAGAAAAAGCTGATTTGACTTTACCTCGAGGAATTGGCGAGAAACTGATTCTGCGCCTTGCAGCCAAGGAGCTGGGCCTGACAGCCTCCACTGTTTTGCCAAAAAGGGCAGTACAGTTTGGATCTCGGATTGCAAAACTAGAGAGCAACAGTGAAAAAGCATCTGACACATGCAGCAGGCTGAAGTTACTTTCAGTAGATGAATTATAGAGCTGTATCTGGAGATGTTGCATTTATTCTATACACAGAGTCAGTAAATCAAGTTTTCTTAGAATGTTTGTTCTGGGTTTTTTTACACACTTGGGCATAATTATTAATAAGCAGAGTTGTACATGTACAAGGAACTCACTATGAATGCATCCTGCTCTTTTAAGTTTGTTTTAATACTGAGAATGCTTAATTTGCAATAGTAACCAGAATCACTTTGGTGATAGCAACACAGCATTTGTTCCTCTGACAGATGATTTTCAACGCTTGTAATCCAATTACTGTCCCTAACAATAACAGCATTGAAACAGTTTTCATTGAACTATTTATTTTATTAAGTTACTTTTTAAGATGCCAAACATCGTATCTCTTTTAATTTTGGCACCTTGATGGAATCTTCTTCAACTCTTTTTGAAATATCAATTCCCAGGGGAGCTCTAGAAAACAAAATTATGTGTTTGTTAAAAATGAACATTGTCAGTGCCATATCACACAGATGTACAGCTTTGTAGACCTTTTTTTACAATTGGCACAAAAGTCAAAATATTTCAGTACATTCCCTGCACTTCTAAGACTGTGACCATTAAAATAGGCTATCTCAAGCTGTACCTGAAAATATCTTTACAATGAGAAAATATTTGTGTTTGTAGTCATTCCAAACTCTAGAAACACAATTGTGATTTCAAAGCCATCTTCTGGGCCTGTTGTTGTATTTAGATTCTGATTTTAGTTGATAATTCATTTTAGGTCCTGCTGATGAATGTAAAACACTAGAAATTCACAGGTAACTCCTATGATAATCTTAAATAATGCACTGTCTACAGCAAATAAAACTTAGTTTTTTATTCACTGAAATATATACAGCAAATTATTTTTGAAGTAGAGTGTTTTATAATTTTTCATGTGAAAACTGTAATACAATTTTTATTTTTGTATTGAGACCATCCAAATCTGTTTTTCTGAAAAGGGAAAGGGGAAAAAAACATTAAAAAAAGCCACGGCTTAAGACCAGCTGGTACTTTTGAGGTATCTGCATTTTGTTTGGCCTTAAGCCTAACATCTACACAATCATGGTAGGAAAAGACATAGAACTGTTATGATGTATGATAAGTTTCTGAGGCAAAATGAACATAAATGATAATTTGTATTTAAAACTGCCTTGAAAGGTAACTTTTAAAATTTCTATGTGCTGCAGAGAGACTCCTCAGCAGCTTGTTCCTCTTTTTCGTGTTCCTGTTCCCCTTTGACAGCCCGCAGTGAGGACACAGACTGGGGATGAGCAGTGCCTTACCTTGGCTCGTAGCGGATGCCAGCAGCACTGGGAAGGACCCCCAGCCCTGCACGTAACCTCTCAATGCCATTCCTGAGCAACAAAGCAATGACACAAAAACGTGCGTCACAACTCTGCGTACCAGCACATCGTTCAGTCAGCACAAAAGGAGCTTCTTGACTCTCATGTCAACTTTGCATGTGCTCCTGTAATATGTGTTAAAGAGAAACAACTCTTACCATGCAATCATAACACCATTGTCAGTGCAGAGCCTTGGAGGAGGACACAGTAAAGCAAAATTGTTTGCATCTGCCAGATTCTGTAGAACTTTTCGGTAATACTGATTACTTGCAACTCCTCCTGATACAACCTGACAGCATTTCAAAAAGAAAAAAAGGCATTAACTCAAAAGTACTTTGAGTACTAGCACAACTAGCATCGTGTTCAGAAAAGGGTTATCAGTTGAAGTTCTGAAGACAGCAATAAATGCTGCATTTAAGATTAAAACATACCAGAAAAGAGTATGCTAAGTGAGCTTATTATACAAAAAGACATTCCTGAAGCACATCTGTCTAATGGAAGGTGTCCCTATCCATGGCAGGAGTGTTGGAACTGGATAATCTTTAAGGTCCTTTCCAAGCTAAACCAGTCTATGGTTCTACTGTAAATCAAGTATTCGGCAGCACAAGGGCAAGTTGTTATGGAAGGTTAGATTAGATGGTTAGAAAATCTCTAGCTTGAAACACAGGTAAATATTTATTATTCCATTACTTTAATATTGTTGGTATTTTAACAATATAATACATACATCTTCCTCATATGCCAAAGGTAGAATGTACAACAAGGCATCTGCCTCTTCAAATGATGTTAACAGAGTCAGATATAAAAAGGAGAAAAAAAGTATACCCACCAAAGTGGCATTTTTTGATGGTAATATGCTGTTTTTGATGCAGAAGAGCATGGCTCGGTACGTCCTCTGGATAATATGAACAGCCACTGCGTGCTGTACAGCAGCAGCAACATCCTTAACACAGGACAGGATCTCACCTTCCTGAATACCTACAAAAGTATATCATCAAAGGGGGCTCCTGAGTGTAGGTCATCAACAGCTCAGTTTGTATCTGACTGCCTAAAAATACCTTCTTCCTTTTCTTTCTGTGCAATGGCATTATTGACAAGGTTTTGGAGGCCGGCGAAAGAGAAGTCGCAGTTCCGATACTGCTGCATGGGCAGTGGGAGGGTGAGCAGTTCCTGGTTCCCAGACTGAGCCAGGTGCTCTATGGCCTTCCCCCCAGCCATGCTGTGGCACTCTGGGTGTTTTCTTAGGGACAGTCTTCGTGCCACCTAAGGAGATGACAAACAACAGACTTGGAATCAGTTCCTCCTAGAATGGAATCACTGTGCTGCAGTCCATGGAATAAAATGTGACACCAAAACATCCAATCCAATGTGAAATTAGAAACAGGGCATGGTAAGGGTAAGACATAACATCAGACCAGCAGGATTTTTTTTTTCTTGGAGTATTTAGAAATGCAATTCTAGAACAATCTGGGCAAACGTAAGGATCAACAAATTTTGCAGGAAATATTAATTACTCCATTTTTAAGCTATAAGAAACACACATGGTCTGTCATACTGTATTACCAGATAAACAGGAACAAAACTGGTTTCAACTTTTCAAAATCCTCTTTATGATTCCATTTTTTAATTAATATGCACAAATACTGTTTAAAAACAGTGCTGAGAACAAAGCCATAAGTGAACAATTTTACAAACTGTACTCAGGGACCCAGAAAGACTGTCAGGGCCAAACCATGCTTTTTAATCTCTAAAAGCTAATATTAGTAAGAAATGCTTTAGCACGCATTGTTTTAAACCTGACAGCATAGTAATACCTCTATAAAATACCTCTATACAACTTCTTTGTATAATCAGTGTCAATGAAACACCCAATACCAGTTTTGGTTATGTTGCCTATTTGCTAAAATATAATTAATATGCATATGTTACAATTGATGCTTTGTGTACATTTTTAACAGTCTTTCATACCTTAAATCTACGGCATTTCAAAACAGAAAAAGTTATATAAAACTTGTATTGCATTGAATTGCTGTCCTCAGGCTGATGATATTACTACCATTATGTAGTATAAATGCAATAAAGAGGACAACTAAAGAAAGGTAAGGAAAGGAAACATTACCTTATCCAGCATGTCACCCGGTGCGATGTCGATGGACTGTCCAAGCAGGAGGAAATCTGAAACTCCTTGTGCTACTGCCAAGAGACAGTGTCCTCCAGAGATGAGGAGAACCAAGAAGGGGAATTCCAGGGGATGCGTGAGCCTGATGGTCAGTGCGTGAGCCTCCATGTGATGGATGGGGATGAAGGGCTTCTGGTGCCTGCTGACCAAGCTGCGGCTGTAGTGCAGCCCCACGCCCAGGCTCAGAGCCAGCCCGGGCTGCACGGTGGTGGCCACAGCCGCCAGCTCGGCCACAGAAACGCCGCTGGCACTAAGGGCCTCTTGGACCACTCGGTCGATGTTTTCTCTGTGGAGCTGCTGTGCCACCACGGGAATTATTCCTCCCGATCTAGTAAAACCAAGGAATTGCAATGCATTGGTAGTTTATAACAGATAGAATGCCATAAAAATAGTTTTCAGGCACCTCTTAACCTTGCTGTATCCTGCCTGTTTCCTTAGTGCATTCTCAAATGCCTTGTTTAGTGTCAAGGGCACTGAAGGGAGCATAATTATCAGTGGAGGACCAGAAAAAGATGTAACTTGCCCTTTTTTGGTACAGATGCTTTTTAAATGTATCTCAACACTGTTCCAAAACAATGTAACTTAATATTCACAATCCCTCACTTGTCAGCTGATGTTCTTAAACCACCAATGGTTATTTGATTTGATTTTCCTTTTAAAAAGTCAAGACATTTGGTAATTTTAACAGTAGCAATGATTTCATCTTTTATTCAAGCCAGAGAAGTAATCTGTCTCTTTCTGAAAGAAAACACTGGAGGAAACTTGTTTATTTCCTCCCCCTTAGTACTATCTCAGGCAGTGTGTTGGGGCCAAAGTGATACATCTTCACACCTACCCACCACTTACTTTCATGGGGAGGGCAGGGAAGACTTTGATATAGATGATATTATAAGTAACAGTAAAATCGTTATTAAGGCAGAAGCCTTGAGAGAAGTCTGTTCTTACTGTAAATGAACTTCCTTCTGGCAGTGCAGTGCTTCTCCCAGAATACAGCCAGCTTCATCCACCACAGCAGCGCCAGTGTCGTCACAGCTCGTCTCTATTCCCAAGACCAGCCTGTGAAAATGCTGCTTCCCAGAGTGAGCAGAGCTGTTCCTCAGCCACGCAGCTCGGCCGTGCTTCACTGACTGCAAAACGCCTCTGGCAATGCTGTTCATTGTTTATAATCTACCTGGTGGCTACGTCTAGAAGAGAACTGTGTAGTTTATTATTAGTGGAGGGTTTTCAAGCACGTGTTCTGCTCTGATCTTCTGAAGGGCTTTTAAATGTCGTGTGGCCATTCATGACTTTAAGACCCTACAAAAACCAGCTGGGAGGTAACGTCCGGTTATTACCTGAATTACGTGTGAAGAGTTCCCCACTGCGCTTGGCGGCGGTGCTGTCGCAGCCCTGAGGGAGGTCCCAGCCCGCCTGTGGCCGCGGCTGAGCGCTGCCGTGCGGGCAGGGCCAGCCTGGGCAGTGCTCGGCCCCGCTCCGCGGATCCTCCGGCCCCGGGAAGGGGGAGCTGCGGCCGGAACCCCCGGTCCCGCCCTGCCCGAGTCGCGGGGCACTCGCGTAGTCCCCGTGTCGCGATCTGTCGCCACCCCCGTGCCGTGCCGGACCCGGCTCCGCCCCGCCGGGGACGCGGGCGGAGCTCCGAGCCGGCGCAGCCGCCGTGCGGAGCGGCCGAGAGCGCGGACTGCTCCGCAAGCCCCGGGCACCGCGGCCCCGCACCTGCGGACACCCAGCTCGGGCCGTGTCGTGCATCCCTGCCCCTCGGTAGCACAGCCTTGGGATGTCCATTATTTAAAAATCAGCCAGTTACCGCTTTCTATGCAAGCAACAGTCAGAACTAATTACTTCCAATTGCGGAATAAAATTCATAACTCATAGTCCTTTTTTTTAACGGCATCTTTATCGATCAGAAAATTGCTGTAGAAAAAAAATAAGTACACCACTGTAGGCTTGTCTTTTGATATTTTTAATTTTTTTTTTTCCAGCTCACTGGCTGCCGCTGCAACCAAGATGTAAATCGAGTCTTAAATGGAGTCTTCCGTTAAATCTGAGCTGGTTTGGGCTGGCAGACACACAGCAGACTTCAGAATTCATCCTTTTTTCCACGACAGAGAAATAAGTGCTCAGAGCAGTAGATGTACCTCCTTCACTCTATTTCCAGAGCTGATAATATACAAATTACCCCATACTACACAGTACCCCTAAAACACAGCATTCCTCCACATTTCCAAGACATGCAAGTTATCTATACCTTTTTCTGCAAAAGCATAGTTAGTCCATGTAATTTGTCTACTCACCTACTTCTAGTTCAGTTTCTATTCTAGCTTACAACCTACACAGCTTCTGTGTTCAGACACTTACTCTGTAACAGAGCACCTTCTACGACAGCAGCAAGCCTTTCCCCACCACCTCACAGGCCTCTCAGCTACTGAAAAATAACCCATCAGTGAATATCAGAGAAAACAGTCAAAAATTCACACCTAAAAAGAAATTGAATTTTTTCAGGATGTCCCACTTACACTGGAAAAGTCAGTATCCTGGTAAGCAAAGTGAAATAAACAAAACAGTGGCAACTTGCAAAAGCGTACATAAACGGAGCTCTTGAGTTGATGTGGAACTCCCCTGAGCTGGCAGTTAAGGACTTTGTTCAGTTATTGTGACTAAAATAAAAAAAAGATTTAAAAAAATCACAAGAACAGAGAGGGCAGGAATTATACCATCAATTTATGCTCGCTGTCACAGTACTTACTGTGGGACAAACTTTTACAATGCAAAACCAAGCACAACCACTTACAATCCATTACAGCAGAAACTACCTAATTTCTCTTAATCTAAGAATGTGGCCTCACCAGTCCTTGGCATCGAGGATTCTGGATTTATATCTAAAGTTACCACCTGCATTATGGATGATGGGTATTTGTGAAACTCTGCTCTGCATTTCAGCTGTTACTTGAACCTTCCTTACAAGCCACTTGCATCAGCCACACACAGTCTTAGTGGGGATTAGGCTTTAGAGCTGGGCCTGCCCAGTTCTTCATGAAAATCTTCCACACATTTCCAATCCACACTGAAGTATCGAAGGCATCTTCTTACAAAGTTGATTTTCATCCCAGACAATGCTGCAGGAAGCAGGAATTGTATCTCAGACGTAAAAGCATCTCTCCCCAGCTATGATGAGATACTCAGCACAGCAGACTACTCGTTTCCTTCACCTGGGGAGCAGCAGTAGCCATGTCAGGGGCAGCCAGTGTTGAACCTTCTGCTCAGTATTTATTGATGCCAAAGATTCGAACCCCATGCAACTGTGGCAGCTTGGGGATAAGCACGGTCAGGAGAGAGGCTGTGTTGAGGATAAAGTGTGTGGGATCATACTTTGTATAGAAACTCGTCAGGAAGTACCTGCAGGAGAAAAGGGACCAAGCTTAGCTGATGGCAGCCTTGTCTAAAACACATACAAAGCATAGCTGAATGAAGTGCTTTAGTGATTAGTAAGATTTTACTAGTTAACATCTGTATCGAATATCTCACCTGAGGCTCTAGAGTATCTACAGCAAAATTATGGTCTAAGTCTCTCCTTCCCATACCTCTCAAGGTGCTTAAAAGCAACCCTTAGTTTACTGTTTTCTTCCAGCACTTCTCCCCACCTTGAGGAGTTACATATATTTTCTCAGTTTCTGACCTTTATGAGCCAACTTTCTAAACATCATGCAGGATCTTCCCTCCCCTCTCACTGTGCCATATAAGTGGACATGTAAATTTTCTTCAGGGACAAACAAAGACTTTTAGAGTTGGATATTAAATATGTATCTGATTTTTCTTAGTTACACAACCACACATTTGTCAACAGAGACAGGTGTATAGAGTTCCTACACCATTTGCATAGTGTAAATAGAAGACAATATGTACAAAGCAAAACTGACACCAGATCCCATCCACTGAGGAGTGACATATTTCTAGCTCACAAGTTGCAAAATGGTTAATAAATGCTGTCACAAAAGCAGTAAGTTTAGATTTTCAATATTTATGACTTCACAATCTCTTAAAGAAACTCAAGAGTTAACAGTAAGTTTTCCACACAACACTTCTAATCTTTAAAACCTGCCCCATTAATAACTGTTTACAAACTTTGACTTCAGTATGTGGAGTGTCAAAAGCAGAAGATTGTTGATTACATAGCCTGTAAATAAATATTCCCTACAGCTGTGATGTAGAAATAAACAAACAAATATTAAAAAAAAGAAAATGCTTTTAGACTGTAAATTGCAACCCATTATGTTGAAGCTTTTGAAATAATGGCTTTATGTGTCAATTTATCTATAACACAGTTTTGAACTCACAGAATTATAGGAGAGATTGTGAAGAACTTCCTTGAAGATGTGAATTGTACTCCATAATCCAGTTGTTCCCAGTGTGTTAGTAGCCTAGCTTTCCCCTGATCAGGTGTTTCAAAAGGAGTTCCCTTTACTGCATGCAAAAACACATACATTCCCTGGGGAAAACAAAAAGTGAATACAGAGGCACTTTTAGTAATATTTTTAAATAATCGTTACAATTTTCAATGCATTATAAAATTAAAAAAAAAAGATTGAGTGAATTCTCACCCAGAAGAGCTGCTAGCCTGTAATGACAAATTATTGAAGAGGAAGGAAGAGACAAGAAGTGATTTGCCTGAGACTGTGCAGAGTCAGAATTAAAGCCCAAGTCTGAGTTACATCCAATCCACTTCCTTGCCTTCTACACTAGTAGGCAAAAGTTCCTTGAATTCCACAGAATTTTAACAAGCTCTGTAACAAGTGTGGGGCTGATGATTGGTATCACCACCTTCCTAGCACATTGTCAACACAGTGATGAGTAGTAGAGTGTGCACAATGCAAAAAACTACCTGCAAACACTGACAATATCACACCAATTCCTGAAAGCTTTACCAGCTTCAAATCCTTAGAAACTGACTAAGCATTCTGCTGAATACCATCTTTCCACCTCTTTCCTGCTTCTCCTTAAACATGCTGGACTTTCCTTGGGACTGTTCCCGTTTGATGGGAACATGCCATATTTGGTTTGCTCTGAAAGCTGTTATGAATAAAAAGTTATCTATTTTTTTAAGGTTGCAGAGTAAAACAAGTTAAACCAGTGCTGTTAAGTTAGCTTCATTGTTAAAGAGTTCTTCTTCAATTACCTGTTAATGGTTGGTGATTAACCATTGTCCCCCTGATGCCTGCCAGGGAGGGACACCGGGACCCTCCAGGTACCAGGAGAATGGGAGTGGCATCAGAGCTAGTATGCAGGTGAGAAATGCATTGCTCAGAATTTTGCAGTTTTCCAGATAAACCCCTAAAAATTACGAGCCAACATAGAACGGAGTGACCTAAGTGACGTATAAGAATGGGAGTATAGTCCAGTACCTGCTTGGATCCTTTCTGCTTCTCACCCTAACCTCAAAAGATGTTGATTGAAGAGGCGACCAGGGGTGTTGGACCTAAAAGGAGGAATCTCCTAATCTCTCGTGAGGACGGAATTCCCAGCTCCGCCTGCAGACCAGCACACAAAGCTGCATCACTCTCCTCCTCCGTGCCACGCCTGGGAGCAGCGGCGGCGTGGGTGTGACCCGTCGATTTCTCCTCACCTGAGCTGATTCTTTTCAATAAAGGCATTAAAAAGGAGAAAGATCTCCTGCCCATTTATTTCAAAAGCCCAATTTGGGCCTCTTGGTTTCAAACAGGGGAGTACACTCTCTTCCAGTTTTAAAAAAATGCTTGTTTTCTATCAAAGAGAGAACACCAACTCCAGGGAAGAGTCTCTATGAGACAATATCAAAGATTTCCTTCTCTTTTTATGCACATACAAAAATTTTCATAAGAAAGCTTTATATAAAAAAAAAAAAAATCACATTTCTTCCAAATTCTTATAATGGAGGTGAAATCTCAGCAAATCACTTCATGTCTCCTTCCACATTTTTTTGGAACAGCCTCCAGACCAGAGCCTAGGACAACTGATTTAATTAATTTTTTGATTCATGACGTTTGCAGTGCCTATTTTAATAACCATAAAGACACTTTTAGGACAGATCCAAATGCTTACTCCACATTTTATTTCCCAGTGGTACTTGCAGAAAGAACCATGAAAAATGCTTTCAAGGTTAGCTAAGAGTTTTGGACATCCAAGATTTTTTTTTTGTCAAACCATTTGAGGATTTGTTTCCAAAAGAAGTGCCATTTAAATTCTGAAATATCCAACAGTGCAATTTATACTCATCTTCTTGTGTTCCACTACAAAACTACTTGCCAGTGCATGCTCTCATCATCCCTGTTGTCATTACAGCTACTTGCAATGAGTTCAGTAAGGCATGTGGGAAATATTTAGTAATACTTGTCTCTGCCAACATCTTCTGAAGTCAGACATGTCTGATGCTGTCAAAGATAACACACAAAATGCTCTAATGACAGTTACAATTCCACCAGTAGTTTTAAACCTATCTACAAAACCAAAAAGCTCAAATGAAAATTAAAACTTTACATTCAAGAGGATAATTACCCATCCTCAGTGAACTATCATTTTCCTACATAAGGAAGGAGCTATCTTTTTGTCAAGCCTTCTTTGCAGGCAATGTTAGAAAGCTGAGCCAGCAAACCTCAAGAATGATCTAAATTGCTGGGTTATGTCCCTCTTTTCTCTAGGCATGGCAGGACCAATACAGATAGCTGCACTACTTTAAGTGGTTACAAGAGCAGAAAGCAGCTCACAAAATCTTTTGCATACAAAAATCATCATGCAAGTCACAACCCACTGAGTAACAAATGGTTTCAGGGCTGGGGTCAAAGTACTTCAGTTTTTCCCACTGCTTTCAAGTGAGATTTCTCTAATGTCCTGTATGGTGACAACACTGCATGCTGAAGTCATTCTGAGTTATGTAGCTTGGCCAGAATTAAAACTAGAAGAAATAGAATACAAGCATTTCTCTTAAAGAAAATAGGTAGGCTGCTAAAATTAAATGTTTTGGGATAATAAGATTTATGTGGAAAAATTAGCTGATAGTGTCCAATAATTAAAAATGTGGTAGTTTATGGATTCAGCACAGCTCTCTTTCACAGAGCACCGTGAAAGTTGGTTGGCATGATGATTTTATGTCAGCAACCTTCCAGCCTAATGAAACGCCATTTAAAAGAAATCATAACTACATAAAGAATATTTCATGTCTTTCATGCTTAAACTGAAAGTGGCTGTGTATCACTCCTCCTCCCAAAAACAGCCAATCCTTTGTGGATAGGCCAAGGAGAGGTGGTGTTTTGGACAGCAGGATTTCACTGTCCATACGGACTGGCTACTTTCCTCTTCCCTTGCTACTGAAAATAAATACTTCTGAACAACCACTATTCAAATGCTGCTCCAAGAGAGGGTACTCACCAGGTTGTGAATGACATTTGTTAAAGTCCAGGCGACAGGGACACTAAAGAAGGGAATGCTGAGCAGGACAATGTGCAGCATGCCGACTCCCAGCGCGTATGTCAGCCACATTCCACGGCTGTTCATCACTCGAGTGTTGGGATTTACCTCGCTGTGGGCAACTCCTACGTTCATTTTTACCCTATAAAACAGATCTGTTTGAAGACTGAGACTGCTGTTACAGAAGAGTACTTAACATATGCAATTTTCAAATGTAGGAAAAAGCTGCTTTAAAGAAGCAGCCCTGGAGAGAACACAGTGCATAAAGCAGGATGTACCTCAAGATCTTCAAGCTAGGGTTTATGAGAAATTAGTACAAAAGGACAGTTGGCAACCATTTGTTTAAAACAAGTCCAAACAAATAAAACTCACAAGCCTGCTACAGAAGGGACATTAAAAAAAAAAAAATAAGCTGTGATGTCAGAAGCTAAAGTTGCAAAGCTGTAAGAAACCAAGCTAATAACTTTTATCCTCTGAATAAAGTTTCGCCATCCATGACAATATCCAAAGCTCCTTTCCACTTCCCACATCAGACAATCTTCCTCCTCTTTCTTGTTCATGTAATGGTTAGTGGAGAATTCTGCATATACCAACTGCACAGCCATCTACTAGAAAGAGCAATGAAGGAGTAATGTACGTCGTAATGATTAGTGGAGAATTCTGCATATACCAACTGCACAGCCATCTACTTCTAGAAAGAGCAATGAAGGAGTAATGTACATCTTTTTCTTGAAGCAAGTGCAGATTTCCTCCCCTCCCCATCTATTAGTTTCCAGACAGACAATTCCACCTTCTAAACCTGGCTGAAATTAGAGAACAGGCTCAAAAGTTTTCTAAGCGACAGCCACATGCAGGAATACACAGGATAATTTCATATGCTGATATAACCAGGAAATTGACACAACTTACCTACAGTGCCTCTCTCGTCCTATCGCAGTAAAATTTGTAGTGATAATTTGAAAATAAAAACCTAAATTATTGCTTATTTCAAACTCACGTGATCTCTGGGACTACAGATACTCATTTATGGGAGCGGGTTTTTTAGCAATCATCTGAATCAGAATACAAAAGCACTGTTCAACCACCAAAAGCAAGCTTGCTTTCGGTAGGAAGTTTGTTTCTGACACTTACTTAGTGAGGTATAGAGTATAAAATAAATATAAAATAAATATAAAATGCCCGAATATTCTGCAATATGAACAGTAGCAGACTAAAAACGCTGAACCTGAAGCCGAACCGGGGCACAGCCGCCCTTACCCAGTACCCGCCGCAAAGCATTCCAAGCCGCGCACTCGCAGGGCACACATTACCTGCGATGGGCGACACGAGGCTCTTCCTCTCTCCCCGGGATGCAGCACCCGCCGAGCCAGCACCTAGGCAGACACCGTGACGTGACCCGCCATCCCTTCCCATCGCACGCCGCGATCCCAGCCCCATCCGAGGGGCAGCTCGCCGCGTTTCCTCCGCCATCCCTCCCCTGCCGGCCCCCGCGCCGGGGCCGCGGCGCCGCTTCCCGCGGGCGGCTGGGCCGGGGCGGCCCTGGGCAGAGGCCGGGCAGGCCCCGGGAGCGGTGCCACGCCTCTCGCAGCGAGAACCGGGAACTGCGGACGGCTCTGTGGTTTGGGGTAAACTGGAGGGCCCGCAGGGTTTATCTGCAGCTTTTCGCCCGTTTTTTCGTCTCGTAAACCGAAGAAATGCCTCAGTGCGCGATGAGGGAGGGCCCCTGAGAAAGGCGGTGCTCGCAGCGGGGGCGGGGTTCTTGGCGTGGCTCCGGACTCTGTGGGGCCGGAACCGTGAAATTTAGGGAGGTTTTGTTCCCGGTTTGGCTGGGGATGTGTAGAACCGCTGTTGTTGGCGTGTCGGACTTGCTGTAGAGGGTTAGGTCAGTGATGGGGCTCCCACGCAGAAAATGCTGCGCTTTCCCCCAGAGCACAGCTATAAACACTTCTGGTCCGTGAAGAGTTACAGTAGTAAGGTGGCTTGAGCTGAGATACGTGTCTCTTAGCTAAAAGGCATCGTGGGCTGGGTGCCATTCCATGGGTAAGAGGTCCCAGAGGTCCCTTTGTGCCTCCCTAGAACTGTCCCCGAGATGTGGCCAGCATTGCGTCCCTCATTTGGGGCCCAGTGCAGGGGACTCCACATGGGCGGGAGCTGATTCCCCTCCCAAGCCTGCATCAGTCACACCTCAGAGAAAATTTGTCTTTGAAGTCCGCAGCATTTCTGTTTTAAGATCCTCCCGTATCTTAGTCAGTGTCTTTTGATGGAGAGAAATCCAACTTCCATCTGATTTACTCCCATGAGTAAATCATGAAGCAGTTGACGCAGGTGTCCCGTACAGTGCGTGAATACCTCAAAACCTGCCTCTCTGAACACGTGTATATGATATTAACATCTTCACTTCTTCACCTTTTCTCCTGCTCCTCTTGTTTTCCAGTTGGTGGAAAAACCATTCATCGGATCCTTTTACCACATTTGAAAGGCAAACTCCCTTTGCAATGTAAATAATAATAAAGACAAACCCCCTTTGTAGCTGTTCCTAGAAAAGTCTCAGTGGTGCTTGTACTTCATAACACTGTACTTCCTCCCCCTGCCCCCCAAACCAAAGCCGAGTAACCACATTTTTTACTTTGTCTTTTATGTTTAAAGAGTAGCTGTCTTTGGAAGGATGTTGAGGCAGAGAAATGTCCTGTAATTGTTGTATCAGCTGCATACACCCTGCAGGGCAGTGATGCTTAGGGGTGTTGGCTGCGATCCCTCACCAGGACCTGGCTGTGTCAGGAGGAAATCTGTGTTTGTTCCATTCCTCCACGTGTGCTCATATCCTTGGGACAGGTGCTGAGTGTGCAGTCTGTGTTCTCCAGCAGATACCTTGGACTGAATTAGTGAGAAAGCCAGGACTGCCAGGATTGTTTGCCTTTCAGTGTAAACAACATTATATAACATAAGCCAGAGAAGAGAAGAAAGCTGTCTGAACCATTCCCCTGCCTCTCTCATATGCATATAAAACTGTGGTTGAATTCTTTTGTGGCAAGCTACAAGGATCAGCAAAATAGTTTTCCTGGGGCTTGGCTGTTTGTGTTAGTGTAGGTACTTAAACAGAAATGCATGCTAAAATTCACAGATCAGTGTACAATCTCTTTATGGGAGAGTATCTATAATATAGCAATGATTTTATAACCCTTTGTATTTGCAATAATTAAAAAAAGAAATCTCCATTGGTTTATAAGGCATCTTCATTTTCAATGAGTGATAGAGAGACACAGAAGTAAAATGACCTGCCTGAGGGCACACGGTACATCACATCAGAGAGGCAAGACTCTAATGGAGAGATTTTTGGGTTTGGTTTTTATTTTTGCCAGTAGATCCCATTGCTATTGAATGTGGCTTTTCCTCAGCACCAGTGTGTTGCCTCCCTATTTCTCTCCCAACACCTGTTGGACTGCAGAGGAAGCTGGGTCCTACTGTAACTTGAAAATTTCACTTTCCAGCCATAATCCTGTGTTTTTCTACATTTCAAAGTTCCTGTGAAACAGTTTCTTAGAAGTGTGTAATTGTAGTGTTCCTTTTACATTCTTTTCCTGTTATTTTTCTGTGCAGCTGAATCTTTCCACCATGAAACAGCTGCCTGGAGAGACAATTCGGCTCCTTTCCAGTTCTCAGGTGATTACTTCAGTTGTCAGCGTGGTGAAGGAGCTGATAGAAAATTCCTTGGATGCCAGTGCTACAGGCATTGATATTAAACTGGTAAGTCTCTCAGAAAGAATTTGATATAAAATAAGATACCAAGAAAAATGTTAACCTGCAACTGTGGTTTTTTTTAGGCTATTGTGATTTGAGGAATGGCAATGATTATAATATAGTTATATGTATATATTTTTACCTCAAGTAAAAATAGTACAAAATTAGTTTCCATTTGGGTTTTTGAGGCTCTGCTCTGAAACAGTAAGGCACGTTTGTGCTTCTGAGTGTATCGTGGGGAAAAAAACTGTCAGCTTTCGTAATCTTCCTTTTCCTACTTAAAATTTGTGTTTTCTGACTAATAGCCTGTTTTAAAAGTTGTTGGATTTAGGTTTGCTGTTAGGCTGACATATTTAATTCTCATTACAAAGTATTGTAGGAAAGGTGAAAATGGAGACAGTGGAAAAGCTTGATGATCATTCAAAACAAATTATGTTTTTGTAATACAAATCACCACCCTGACTCTAATTGACATGGTGAACTCTGGCTATTTCTAACTCTTTATAAGCCGTTCAAAAAAGTTGACATGTCATTCAGGGATAGTTTCTGACTTGAATTGAAAATACTACTTTTAATAAAGAATTTGAGCTTTTTTTTCCCAATGAATTGGGTGAAATGGATAACTGGTCAGCTCCTCTTGCTGTCCTATTTCTGCTTTTGCAGTGTTTTGTCAGCAGCTGTATATTAGCAGTATCTCCTGCTTAGTAAGAAAGAAGTGTTACTATATCCTGTATAAATGTATGTATTCAGAATTGTATCCAATTTCCTTTCTTGAATTAAGTAGACAAATGCTCTTAACTAGGAGGACAATTCAGTTTCTCCTTGTTTCTTTGACCATGTCTGTCATATTTTCTGAATGAGTCTAGAGATGTTCCATCTGAGAATGCTTACCTGTAGATGCCAAGGAACACGTTTGTTGCTGCTTTGAGTGAGCTGAAGATGTTCTGTCTTTGCTGTAGTCTCTTATAATCTCTGTCTTCTCAATATTTAGGTTCCAGAGTATCTTGCTTCTTGAGTAACTCCAAAGTGAGTAGTGTGTACACAGTTGTAGGGGTAAAGGATATTGGGATCAGATCCTGGGAGCTGATCAGTAAAGAAGTGAACAGAAAGGTTTTGGAGTGTTCCAGAATGGTTGGAACAAACCTTGCAGAGGAGAAAGCCCTCTAACTAGTGTGGGTTTCACAGCACAGTAACCAGCTTTGTCCCAAATCAATGAAAAAGAGCATTTTTAACCGTTTTCAGTGCATGAGTCATCTGCACTACTCTTGCATACTTGTGTCAGTCCAGCCCAATCCTAAACACTGTAGTTCCAAACAAACAAACATGGCTTTATGCAAGTTGTCAGCAATTAAAAGAAATTTGGTGATTGTTCTTTTGTGAGTAACAGGGGAGAAGAGAAAACCTGCACTCTGTGCAACTCTAGACAGTAATACTGTAAAACAATGGATTTTTTAATGGTATTTTTAATGGGAAATTAAAATAACTCTGACCATGTAATAGAGGTCAATGACCACATTAATTCTGGATTAGTTCAAAAGCATAACAGAGAAGAGAAACGTTGAAATTCCATTTTACAGCTTGATGGGTTTTGCCTGAAACTGCAACATTTTCATTGTTTTCATCTTTTTCAGATGGCATAGGAGGGCATAGTTTATCCAATTTGCCTGAACAAAGATAACAGTTCCTTTCTGACAGACAGACAGGAATTAACCTGAAGATGGAATGGGTTTCAGATAAGAGTCGTGGCAGTGGTGAGCTGTAGTGGGAAGCTTTGGCTGCTGTTTCAGTCTTGAGTGGCCATAGGTGATGTTATTTGGCATCCTTGCACTGTGTACCAAAGCTGAATCATACTGATTGGCATCAGTGACCTGGCAGAGCAACTGAAACATTTCATGGGCTCATAACCTTGGTAAGATTCAGCTCATGAAGAAAGGTGTTACAAAATACAAAGGTTAAGCATATTTATGTAATATTTACATAAAACATGCACAAGTAAAAATTAATAAGATTAGAAGAGAAAGAGAGAATCATTTATGTAACAATTGGTTCAAGATAAATCTCACTTTTCTTGAACAACTAACTGGTCATAAAGTAAAAATTAGAATGGAAAATTGGGCTTCATTGTAGAATTCTCAAACCTTTAATTAGCACATACAGCAGCAGGGTAGAGGGTTTCCTGCCTCTATTTCCTTATGTGGTTTTGTGCTCAGTTGAGGCGTATTGCTTAGTTCTGTTTTGCTGCCCCGTAGGAAGTTGACTCAAACATGAGCAAAAGCATGGTTTTTCACCTGAAGACAGCTTTTGCACCAATCATTAAACCAGAAAGGGAAATGTACCCATATTTCTGTTGTTTTTTGTGTATTGTGGTTCTGAGCCTACCTCAGAGGCTTTTGATGTTTCCTAAATCAGATTGTGTGAGTGCAGATGGTTTCTTTAGATACCTTTCTTTTGGTTTTGATTGCATCATTTTTTTTTACTTCAAGAAATAACCTTGTGAGTGCATAACAATTTTTTATAACTGTTTTCAGCATAGGCCCAGGTAGGACAGCAAAGTTTGTTCTGTTTGATCAGCCTGCTTTCAGTGATCAACCACCACATGCTCTGTCCAGCATCAGTGATGGCAGCCACTGTTTTAAGATAATCTTTCTAAGCAAAACTAGTTGTAAAGTCACCTAGATGTATTACACACTACAGCACTT